TACAAAAAACTATAAATTCACATTAGTGCAGTTCCTAAATACATTTACCAACTGACATTCAAAGGATTTGCTTTTGTTCTTGTCATTAATATACTGTGGACTTATTTTAACATGAAGAAATCCAAGGGGGGGGGGTGTGACACCATACGTTCACCGCACTGGGTGACACCAACCCTAGCTGCGCCACTGACCACAAGAATGTACAGAGATAGCCACACAAATATTTCAATTACAATAAGCTGGGGGCAGACTAAGTTTTTGTTTTTGTTCAGAAAAATATTTTTGTATATCAGATATGCTTTCTTTTCTTTTGGAGGGTGTGTTTTGTGTGTGGGTGGTGTGTGTGTGGGTGGTGTGTGTGTGGGTGGTGTGTGTGTGGGTGGTGTGTGTGTGGGTGGTGTGTGTGTGGGTGGTGTGTGTGTGGGTGGTGTGTGTGTGGGTGGTTTGGGTTATGAGATGAGTAGGTAAGTTTTGGCTCCTCTTTCTTGCCCCAAAAAACCATTAGCTATTTTAGCAACGCACATCGGCTGGAGTTGTCGCGCGGTGACCAAACTATTAGAAGTGATGTTTTCGGTTTACCACCGTTGACCCCTTATTTACGGGCTGAAACCCTATACAAATTTATAAGAAGATATGGACCACATTATCCATGTATAAAATATATTAATATGACACATGATGTTATGTGTATGTGTGTAAATATGCAGGCCCGCACCGAGGAAATTCTGGGCCTCAAGCAGCTGACAGAGTTCGGGCACCTTTCGAGTTCCAAACATGTGCGTATATTTTTAAAAACTCGAAAAGGGTGGGCCCTACCTAGCTCGGGCCCCTGACAAGTGCCATGGTTGCCCCCCCCCCCCCAGGTGCGGGCCTGATGTATGCCCCTAGAGAAGTCATTCTTATTGGACGTACATCGCCGGGAAAGAAATTAAAAGACATCTAACTTCTAACACAAACACATCACAACGTCACAAACATATCACCACGTCACAAACGTATCACCACAATACAAGCATATCAACACAATAAAAGCATATCACCACGTCACAAACGTATCACCACAACGCAAGCATATCAACACAACACAAACATATCACCACGTCACAAACGTATCACCACAATGCAAGCATACCAACACAACACAAAACATATCACCACATCACAAACGTATCACCACATATTGACAATGTTTTTAAAAAGGAAACTATTTTTTTTTTGGGTGGGGGGGGGGAAGGGTGGTGTATTATTTGTAAAGGAAAGTAACAAGTAACGGAGATAGGAAGTGAATAAATTTTCAATGTAATTAAAATGCCTCAGTGAATTAAATTTTTTTAAAATTTTGAACAAACATCACAAACGTATCACCACATATTGACAATGTTTTTAAAAAGGAAACTATTTTTTTTTTGGGTGGGGGGGGGGAAGGGTGGTGTATTATTTGTAAAGGAAAGTAACAAGTAACGGAGATAGTAAGTGAATAAATTTTCAATGTAATTAAAATGCCTCAGTGAATTAAATTTGTTTAAAATTTTGAACATAATGGCGTATATATTGAAGGTCGGCTAATCAAAGATGCACCTGAATTCGATATATTAAAATGATGTTGATATCTGAGGTTGATGTGGGTTAAGGTTGGACGAATCATGCCGTGCCACGGGCTCATAAGGTTGGACGAATCATGCCGTGCCACGGGCTCATAAGGTTGGACGAATCATGGTGTGCCACGGGCTCATAAGGTTGGACGAATCATGCCGTGCCACGGGCTCAGTGGTGAGCTTGACTTAATGTCGCCCGGAGAGAACCCACAAAATTGCCCCCCCCCCCTTTTCCCTCGGGAAAATTATCAGTAAAGCAGAGTTTCCATTTTCCGAACCCCAATTATCCGTAGGTTCAGCGCAATGCCGCTGTCTTTTATAATTTTTAATACTATCGTTAGCCATATGCATGACATGGAACATTAGCATACCAACACACCGGAAAATGCTTCTGGCCCATACCCCACTGAACATGCAATGACTAGACTGGGATATCGCGATCTTTAACCTTATTAATTTGTATAACGGATTGTTACTGTTACACACCGCTACTGATTATAATCCACACACTTAATTTTTTGGTGCAATTTAAAAAAAATATTATTGAAAACCTTTTTGCAATATTTGTCTTATTTAAGTCCACACTGAATTTTAAGACTTACAGTAAAAGGGGGAATAAAATGCGGCTTTATTCATAACTAGCAAATATGACCCGGCCTTACCGGGAAAATGGAAGGTAAATATCGCCAATTTCTGTCTGCTATTGCAAAGCCTCAATATCTAAAAATCAATATGTAGCTGAATCAAGATGTTATGCTCCTCAATAAAAAAAATATCCCCAGCCTTTAAATGTATGTAAGTCTCCACAAAAATATTTGAAGGGACTGGGGAATTAACTCTGATGCAAAGTGAGCAGTAATATTATTATCAAGAAATATAACAGTATTGGATGTGTAAGCCAAAAATGGGAAACAACATAACAATTCAAATACAATGTGATCTAACAGACTGAATGAATTTCAAAGGCATTTTGCTGTCATCAAACTTCAGAAAAGTTTTAAATTAAAATTATTTTTTTGTTGAATTAAGAAACCGTTTGATGACCAACCACCATCGCGATGACCAACTGCCTTAACGATGACCATCCACCATTACGATAACCAAACACCATTACGATGAACAACCACAATTCCGATGACCAACCACGATTACGATGACAATCACCAATGCGATGACCAACCACCATTACGAAAACCAACGCTTCGGGCAAAAGGAATGCTGTTTTGACCCGAAATTTCTAAGAGGGATGAAAAGTTATCGAGATTAAGCCATACAGTTACCAAGAATAATATGTTTTACAAATCCGCGGTTCGATTTCGTGCGATCGGTTGTAAGTAGCATTAACATATAAACTGAATGATACGCTATAAAGCTGGATTGTATATTGTGTGCCAGCTTATAATCCTAAACAAAATTATCCCAGGCTTTGTGGATTTCACCCTGTGAAGTCTACCATAGCCACACTGTGACGTACGGATGCAAGCAAAGCTAGATTCAAATTCCAAACACAGTCGACTATCAAAGGGGTCGTCCATTAATAATGTCAACAAGATAGGGTGGTGGGGGGGGGTGGGGGTTAGGAAATGTTTAACAATTGTTGACAAGGGGTGGGGGTTGGATTAGTTGACGTCAACAAGCATGTTTTTTCTATTTAAATTTTAAACAAAAAAAAATTGAGTGGTTATTATATTATTTTAACAAATTTAATGAGTGTAAATTAAAATAGTTATATAATTTTTAGGCTTTTAACAATATAATATTTATCTGATGTGTATCTGTCTGTGCACTGCAGATGGTTGGTCAAAATGTTAGCACACTTTGTAACCACCACACTGCTCTACTCCTATGCACTGCAGTCAACAAGACAAATGGAGACACAGGCCATTGCGCATATTGAATGTAAACTTCCAGTCTGCAAGTGGTAAGCGAGTAGAGATAGCTAACCTAATTAACAGCCTAAAACCCGACATCATCTTGGGCACAGAAACATGGCTGAATCCCTCCATAGCAAACGCAGAGGTTGTACCAGATATATACAAAGTATTTCGTCGAGACAGAAAAGACAGAGGAGGAGGAGTGCTTGTTGCAGTCCATCACAACTTGGACTGCCACGCTGTTCCAGAACTCGATGTTGACGACTGCGAGATCCTGTGGGTAAAATTGAAACTAAAGGGTAGACGCACACTTTATGTTTGTGCCTATTACCGACCAAACACAGCAGATGAACCAAGCCTGAGGAGGTTCGAGGTATCGCTTCACAGAGCAACACAGTCAAAAAACGCTTTTCTCCTTATAGGGGGGGATTTTAACTTTCCTGGTTGGAATTGGCAGATTCCTGCCTTGAAGCCCAAGTCCCCATACCCTGTTCTACACTCAGAATTCATGGAGATAATTAACAACCATGGTCTGGAACAGCCGTGCGCTTAATAACGTACACGCCGAATTCAAACAAAAGAACTCGTGTCTACGACATCGAGTTTAAATTAAAAAAAAAAAAAAAACAAGGTCTACCACATTGTTGCTTTCTTTTAACACTTGGCAATGCCAAAGAAACACTACTGTTGAAATAATAAATATAATTAATAAAATGCTTTGTGCTGAATTACCAGGTAATGACCTATATTATAGGCTTTATGACATTGAATAAAGAAACATTGTACATGGTCAATGTGGACAAAAGAACCATCAAAATCTGTGCGTCACGGACTTATTAAAGGTTTTGCTCTTCTTCGCATATTTTACACTTTATGTTGCCTCAGGTAGTATGATACAAAAAAAAAAAAATCGAACAGAAATGGATTAAAGTTTTAATAAAGAAAGCCATAAATACAACTTAAAAATTAAAAGCTTTTCTTTTAATGTGTTTCTAAATTGATTTCAACAAGTTGAGAAGATTTGCTCGAAACTTCCTGGCTAATACAAAATAGAGGAAGAAGTTTATACAATGTGAAAGTAATGACAGAACCAAAAAAGTATCGACCATCAGCATACCAGAGGATGTAATGAAGAATCGATGCGATGAAAGAATGACTATTACGAATATTCGGTACGGAAAGTAAAGAACGAAACTGAACAAAGCCGTGGATCAACGAATCAACGTGCTCTTCATGCTGTCCGCACGGCTTGCAGGTGGTTCAGTTTGGCGTTCAACGAAACGATTCGATGGTCCGTCACTGCTCGTTCGTCATCAAAAGTGCCCGGCGTTGTCTTCGCCACACATACAGTGTTTCGACTACCACCAGTAGTGTTAGCAACGTTATGATGGTAAGAGGAATTGCTATGGCGATTATAAATTAGATGAAAAAAATATGTCACTGCCGTTAAAAATAAGACACAGCAATCACCAGATAAGTTCACGTCTCTAACGACCGAGCGAAAAGATACACAATAAAGTGTACGAATGGTCGAAATCAAAGACAAGGCACGTTTGCGGCGCCTCTTAGAGATCCAGACGTTTCTCTTGAAGGGCTCGCAAACAGCTATGCACCGCTCAGCACATATTACAACGACTGTCCAGTTTCTGATGACCGTGAGTGTTCTAAAAGGAACGCCGATCGTCTCGCAGCCAAACCGGCCACGCTCTACGTCATGGGCCCAAATGTTTCTTTCAATAAGTTTAGCAACAGGAGCAGAGCTATCAATGACGGCCAGGAAGCAGAGCAAAAATGAAGCAGGGCATCGGGATTGAAATTTTGAAATGTTTACAATGATCGGGATATTGGCAGGTGATCCGATTCCACAAATCACCCCCATGTAGATCTTCATGGCGAGTGGTGTCTCCAAGAGTAATCGATGTCCTCGTAATCGCTGTCGCTGTCAAGTTTATGAAAGGAACGTGATGTTACATCGTCACAAATATAATTTAAATGTGTCATCTCACTAAATTTACTTGAATCAAACACACAGATACGTATCACTAAATGCTAGTTTGCTAATGTTTGTGCGTTTTAGCCTTAAACACATTTTCATTTTCTATTAAACAAAGGTAATAAATAATTCCGAAATTGAAATAAAATGAATATTAGCACTAATAAGCAACTTAATGACTCAATGAATACATCCCTTTTTTTTTTTCAAATGATTTTTTTTTTTTTAAATGGTGGTACTTCCTCAATGCATTCTTGCACAATTTCTTTTTTATTTAAATGGTGGTACTTCCTCAATGCACTCTTGCACAATGTCTTATTTATTTAAATGGTGGTACTTCCTCAATGCACTCTTGCACAATGTCTTATTTATTTAAATGGTGGTACTTCCTCAATGCACTCTTGCACAATGTCTTATTTATTTAAATGGTGGTACTTCCTCAATGCACTCTTGCACAATGTCTTATTTATTTAAATGGTGGTACTTCCTCAATGCACTCTTGCACAATGTCTTATTTATTTAAATGGTGGTACTTCCTCAATGCACTCTTGCACAATGTCTTATTTATTTAAATGGTGGTACTTCCTCAATGCACTCTTGCACAATGTCTTATTTATTTAAATGGTGGTACTTCCTCAATGCACTCTTGCACAATGTCTTATTTATTTAAATGGTGGTACTTCCTCAATGCACTCTTGCACAATGTCTTATTTATTTAAATGGTGGTACTTCCTCAATGCACTCTTGCACAATGTCTTATTTATTTAAATGGTGGTACTTCCTCAATGCACTCTTGCACAATGTCTTATTTATTTAAATGGTGGTACTTCCTCAATGCACTCTTGCACAATGTCTTATTTATTTAAATGGTGGTACTTCCTCAATGCACTCTTGCACAATGTCTTATTTATTTAAATGGTGGTACTTCCTCAATGCACTCTTGCACAATGTCTTATTTATTTAAATGCCACCATCTTGATCATCATAGCACATTGAGAATCTGATGCGCCCTAGACCATCATAGCACATTGAGAATCTGATGCGCTCTAGACCATCATAGCACATTGAGAATCTGATGCGCTCTAGACCATCATAGCACATTGAGAATCTGATGCGCTCTAGACCATCATAGCACATTGAGAATCTGATGCGCTCTAGACCATCATAGCACATTGAGAATCTGATGCGCTCTAGACCATCATAGTGCATTGTGGATAGGATGGCCCCGGACACGCAGCGCCGCCATTCGCACCCGGGTCCCATAACTCGGATGTCATTTGTGGTAGTTTATTACCATGGAATGTGATCTCACAGACTGGATGAATTTCAAAGGCCTTTTGCTGCCATCCAACTCCATAAAAGTTTTACAATAAAATTACAATAAAATTATTAAGTAAGTTTACAAACATATAGTCCATTCAATTATCTATTAAGTAAGTTTACAAACATATAGTCCATTCAATTATCTATCATTTGATACCTCATTTTGTCTTATAAACCCAACAATAATATTTTAAATAGTTTTTTTTTTAATCCCAACCTCTCAGTTCTGGCACCCGTGTACGAATAGTCACAGCCTTATTTAAATAAAACGAAAAATGGGAGTTTGAGGATATTATTGGGTCTGTTTTAATAAGTCCCACTCAAATTACTGAATTTCAGTGTAGAAAAAATCAACAACATAATTTTCGAGCAACCGGAACTGAAAAAATTAAGTTGACGCCCAACACGGGCAAGCTACTCAAGTTTAGATGACGATTGGGCGTGCCCCATTGAAGCCAGCTATCAAGGCTTATTATTGAAAGAGATCAAGACATATGAACGTAAACTAACCTCTTAATTTTTTTTTTGTAGTTAAGTTCATTAAGATTTATAAAAAAAAAAATTCATTAAGCTTTTATTTAAAAAAAAAAATATGCTATTGAATCTATTAACTCCGTTTCCCTTTAAAAGTCCAGTCTCCCCCACCCCCCCCCCCCA